CTGGTTAACGATTTGATCAGGTATAACCTTCTGTGGAGAAAAGTCACAGTGTACCTCTTGCATTTTTTAGCTTTCACTGTTTACTACAAGAGTTTTCCCCCCTCTCAAAGTGTGTGCCTCCACACCTACCAACTATTTATGCATCTGTTGTGTGTACCACAGTCCACGAAAAATAAAATTGGTTAGGCTTTAAAGTGCCACAAAACTATTATTAGTTCTTCTTCACTGAGTTTGCCTTGTTCTTTTCTCTGTATTATTCTTCCTGTTGCACATCAAAAATTCATAGTATTAATATCTTTGCCCACCTTATTTCTCTTATAGAAATATGTTATATTTCTCTAAATTTCACCTGTGCAGGTTTGTAATTTCCAATAGAAGAAGCTGAAAGGGACAAGGGCACAGAGTACAACACACATGGCACAATACTTCATAAAGAGAGGGGCAGTTGTTAATAAATGGCATTGGTCTGTTAAAAAAGAAAAAACAATAAAGAATTTAAGTTCCTACCTTTGTCCGGGTTCTGATTCTGTAGGTTTCTTCTTCTGGGTTCTCTGGTTAGGTTTCCATTAACACAAGTAAGCCACAGAGAGGCATGTCATTCTTCCTATAAAGTCATGATTGCTGTACTTTTTTTTCTTTTCAGCTCTTTTGCTGTATATCTATTTGGAATGCAGAAGAAGAAAATGGGGGTGGGGCTTCACCATATAGGTTTTGTGAAACAGAAACAAAAGTGCTGTTAGGAACCCTGAATCCCTGATACAAACATTCAAAACAGTCATCGATTGGAGACTGGAAGGGAATAGAAAACCCCACCTCTTCCCCTGCCTGGAGGAGGACAGTGGCAAAGAACAGCAGAGAAATAGTTTAGCTGCTTTGATGAGTAGAAAGGTAAGAATGCTGGATGAATAGTTTTAGCAACTGAGCTGTGCCTGAAAGATATGCAGAGATCTATGAGCGCAGTCATCCGTTTGAAGATTGCCCTAAAGGCACAGAAGCAAAATAAAGATGCAGCATTACTTTAGACCAAAACACGCTCTCTAAAAATAACTGCCCAGGACCTCTGGATGTAAACAACGGATTATGGGATGCTTACTCATGGGCAAGTGCCATTCACACAGACAAAAAAAAAGTTTATTTAGAGTGCAAGAGCAGAAGGCTATAGTCATCCTACAATACCACACTGACTCACTCCTTCTATTATTACCTCAGCTTGGACAGGGAGATCTTAGACAAATGAATGTATTTACTCTGTACATCTGTACTCCATCCTTCAATACATCTATTTCAATGCACGGCAGCTAACAGAGCTACAATGCAGCAAGAACTTTAAAGCAACAATGAAAACAGAAAAAAAGAACAAAATGGCAGATGTAAAAGCATCACAGACTTTAAGAGTGAGAAACCCTGAGGCGGCGGGGGGGGGGGGGGAGGCAGAATCTTAGCTTGTATCAAGGTATTCTATTGCATTTTGTCTTCCATTTTATTTATTTAAGCCATTTATATTCCTCCGTTCCTCAAAAGACCTCAAGGCAGATACAAAGCTTTAGAATGCAAAGATCAAAACATGGAAGTCACAATACATAAATCAGTCTAAATGTGCTTTTCAAAATAACTCCACCATATTACATAGATCAAAGGTCTCATTATCAAGAGGACAAGCTTCAGCCAATGTCAAAAGTTAGACAATGTTGATACCAGCCAACCTTTGGGGGGGGGGGGGGAGGTAGAATAATGTTCCAAATCTGAGGCACCATTGCCTAGCCCTAAAATATCAGGTGCTATATCCCACCTTGGGACCCCAGGCTTCATATCCTGCCTTTCTGCAGAATAAGGCTCCAAGTCTTCAGTAAGATCTTCAGCCAAAAGGTAGCTGGTGCGAGCCAAACCTCTGGGTGGCGGCGGTGGAGTATGTCACAAAGCTGAGGTGCCAATTGCCAAGAATGTCACCTTGTGACCTCAGACTTCTACACAATTAGCCTTCTGAAGACCCTTCCCTCAAGCTGCAGAAGTTCTAGTCACACCACACCTGTGTTTCAAAGCAGCTAGGCTCTTATTTCCATATCATCCCCACTTTGTCACACCCTCCATCTGCCATTGGTTTGTTGGCTGGAGGGGTGGAGCCACAGTAGGAAATCTAAAGGTTCAGATTCAGGCACAACATGAAATTATATTATTTTTCAAGAGAGGAAAAATGAGGGTAGGGTTACTAAATGATTGAATGAGTAGACCTGGAGTTGTAATTAATTGATTGCCCAGCTGGTGGTGGTCTTAGAGCCTATTTAGAAATTGTTGTCCTATAAAATTTCCAGCAGCATAAGAAAGTAGAGCAGGGAGCTAATTAACTTTTTTTTGTTTTGTTCCCTTGTCTCATTAGAAGTCTAATCTCAAACTATCATATGTTAGGCTTATAGGTATGTTTCACTTATATGCAGTCTTATCAAGCCTCAGAAAAGACTATTTTCTTGGTTTGTGTCAGATGAAACCAACCAGGAAAGATGCATTCTAGTTGCTAGGGAAAAGGGAAATTTGATATTCCAAGGATTAGGAAATGAGACAGAAGCAGGGAAAGTGCACTGAAGGGGAGGGGGAAATAGCAGCTCTTTAGGACCCCAGGGATTCCTAACACCCTGGTGTCCAAACAACTCACTCACCCTTCACAACTCTGACTTCACTCATTTGCTAAAAACACTGAAAGGCAGGGGTAGTCAGGCTGACTCATCTCTCAGAAATCACTTTGCATGGTACTTGCACCTTTTGTTCCATAACTTCCTTTCTAGGAGAGCTGAAGTATTGCTTCTTTAAAAAATGAAAGCTCGGAGTCTGAGATCCCTGTAGCCTGCAGACTGAGTGCATCAGTACCAACAGCTCCCATTGCTTGGTGGCACTGGACATGACGGCACTCTTCAAATGCCAGAAAGGCTGCCATGAAGAAGAGAGCAAAGATGACTTGTTCTCAGCCCAGAGACCAGGACTAATTCCAATAGGCTTAAGTTACAGGAGGGTAGCTTTTGTCAAACATTATGGACAAACCTAGAGGGGTGGTAGGGACGTGGGTGGCGCTGTGGTCTAAACCACAGGGCATAGGGCTTGCCAATCAGAAGGTCGGCGGTTCGAATCCCCGCAACAGGATGAGCTCTCGTTGCTCGGTCCCAGCTCCTGCCCACCTAGCAGTTTGAAAGCACGTCAAAGTGCAAGTAGATAAATAGGTACCACTCTGGCAGGAAGGTAAACGGTGTTTCTGTGCGCTGCTCTGGTTCACTGGAAGTGGCTTAGTCATGCTGACCACATGACCCGGAAGCTGTCTGCAGACAAATGCTGGCTCCTTCGGCCAATAAAGCAAGATGAGTGCTGCAACCCCAGAGTCGTCCTTGACTGGACTTAACTGTCAGGGGTACTTTTACCTTTACCTAGAGGGGTGATGGACTCCCACTTACTGGAGATCTTCAACAAGAGGGTTGGCAGCCAAGTGTTGAGAGTGTCCCACCTCATATGCAGGATTGTAACTGGTTTTGTGATGGTAAAAAGAGTCGCAAACAATCTCTTTTTCAACAGGCCAATGAAGCTATGTATTGTGCTGTCAGATATGGGCAAGCACTATCATTTAAAAAGAACAACAACAAAGAATGCAGCATAGCACCAACGTGTTAAATCACCCAAACCTTTCCTGTTCCGGAATTTAAAATCTTATGTCCCCTTCTTTATTCATAGGTTCAGAACCTGCTGCGTTATGCATACCTTTCAGGTTGTGCTCTTCATGTTGTGACATCATTTGCCCCAAGGCGAATTAGTTTTATCCTGGAGTAGTTGACATCATGTCTGCATTCCACCTCTCTGCATTTCTAGTTCAGTTCAGATCAGAAATGATTGCTCATCTGAATATGAGACACTCAAGGCAAACTCAAGGAGCAGAGATACTGCAGCAGATAAGAGGGCTGTGGTGGCTGGTATTGTGACATATATATCTGTCATCAAGCTATTTGACTGAGCTTAAATAATTTCCAATGGTTATTGTCAGAGTGGGGGCGGGGAATCGAGAGAAAACATTTGTTGATGGGTAAAAATATTTTTCCGGTCATGCTGTTCTTCTGTGCAGATTGACTGCCCCACCAAGTCTGGCATAGCTTGTTCCTTGACACACCCTGTGAGTGGAACCTCTTGTCTAAGATAAACTTCCCTTTACAGCATTTTAGATGCAATGCATTCAAACACAGCATTTTACGTACATTATAAATTGAACTTTATCAATCAGGACAAGGTTTGGCTCATATTGACATGAAATACGAACCTGATCAAAAGAAAGAAGTATCTGGCCCCTTCTTGGTTATTTTTCCTCATCTTCCAAGTTCCTCTATGCTATTGAAACTTGAAAGCCTTATAATCCCCTAATACACTTGCCAGAGCAAGGAAAGTCCATCAATTACTCTGGTGTTCCGTGATGATGTAATCACTCCTTCTCTTTAAAAAGTCATGGAACTGTGCTCCCTCATGTTTCCCCTTCACTGAACTGAACTGAATAGTACTTGTGACAATTCAGGTGCCTGGGGTATCTTACTATTTGATGCCAAGGGTGCCATAACAGTTTTCATGACTAAAGTTACTACAAAACAGGAAGCGGTTCTGTAAATAAAATAGAACGTCATTTGAACGCTAGCTGCAGCAAATCCAGACACTCTTTTTATAGGTGCATTGGTTTATTTCCTGTGGTCATTTTGTATGATCCCAATGTAAATTAAATTCCTTAAAATGAGAAAACTACTTTGTAAGATGAGGAATGGATATTTCATAGACGTCTTCTAATCCTGGGACTAGCATTCGGAACTGTGGTTCAGTGTTTATGGAATCAGATAATCAGATAGTCTTCCTTACAAATCTTTAAGCTATCTTCCAGTTTGTTGGCAACACATACTCAACATAAGCGTAAGAAAATGGCTAAACAAGCCTCATTGGTTCCTTAAAAGAGCTATTAGCCCCACCTAGTGGCCAAAACAGAATTCCAAATAGTCTGTCAATGCATTTATTCTTGGATATATGGATAGTTTTGTGCCGCTCTCAGTCATTTCATTGAACATATGCAAAATAAGTTGCTCTAATTCTGCTACGCTGCTTCATGCAGATTTGCTATGTGGGTTTGTTTTCCCTTCCATGTTACACTGAGGGTACAAAAAGATAATACACAACTGTTCATATACCTGCAGTTAGAACATCTTTATAATAGCCCATATCTAACAAAAGGATTTTGCAAAGTTGTTTAGAGCGTACTATATTAAACAGTGTAATATAATGAACGTTTACTTGGAAGGAAACCCTACTGTGTTCAAAGGAGCACATTCTCAGGTGAATGTGCATACAGTGGTACCTCGGGTTAAGTACTTAATTCGTTCTGGAGGTCTTTTCTTAACCTGAAACTGTTCTTAACCGGAAGCACTATTTCTGGCTTAGCGGAGTCTGTAACCTGAAGTGTATGTAACCTGAAGCTTATGTAACCCAAGGTACCACTTACACTGTTGCCAAAATGTATTAAATAGTATAATGTAAGACATACTAAATATACCCATTTTCCATGGTTTGTAGTCAGAAACAGGTAATCAGGGAGTCTGTGTATGTGGACATGTTTGGCATTTTGCACTTAACTTAGTTGCTTCTCACAAGTGGTTTTAAGAACAGAAGAAGAGTTCTTTCTGCTGAGTCTGATCAGAGGCCCAGCATTCTGCAACCCACTGAGATCAACCAGACATCTATCAGAAGTCCTCAAACCTTCTTCCACTGTTGGTTTCCAGTAGTGTGCTGCCTCTGAAACTGGGGGGGGGGTGTCTTTCATCACAGGGATAGCCAATGTTGTGCCTCATTGGACTACAACTCCCATCATCCCCGAGCATTAGCCCTGCTGGCAGCAGCTGATGGGAATTGTATCTTAATCTGGAGGCTACCTCAGTGGCTACTTCTGCAGCATGTGAGTTTGTCTAACTGGCTAGAACGCCCTACATTAATTGTGCATTGTGTGAATAATATTCTCATTTGAATAATTTGCTGCCATTTGCAGGTTTGGATATTTCACTATTTACCCTGGCTCCACAACTTTTACAATCTGCTTAATATTCATTAAAGAGCATTGGTCCCATAATATATCCACTCTACCCCTTGTGAAAACAATCGCTTTTTTGGCCACCGTTTCCTTTCCCTTAATCCTTTCCTCTATTTCTGAACTTCAGAGCCAAATGGCAGTCCTAATGCAGTCAAAATAGAACCATTAATGCAAAAGTGGGAGGTATCAACAGGCTTGGGAGAACCCAAAGTTTGCAGAAGTACAAAAAAAAAGCTTAATAATTTTTTAAAAGGAAATTCCCAAAACAGCCCGGTAACAGCTAAGCATGCTCAGAGGTTGTGGAATTCTCATTCATTCATTCATATGCTGCTTTTGTATGAAATTGTCCACGGAATGGCTCACAACATGTCAAATGGGCAATATGCACACACACCACAAATAATCATATCAATAAGTAAATACATGTTGACTGGGATGCGGTTGGCGCTGTGGTCTAAACCAATGAGCCTCTTGGGCTTGCCGATCAGAAGGTTGGTGGTTCAAATCCCCGTGATGGGGTGAGCACCTGTTGCTCTGTCCCAGCTCCTGCCAAGCAGATAAATAGGTGCAAGTAGATAAATAGGTGGTTTCCGTCACTGTGTTCCATTGTGCCAGAAGTGGTTTAGTCATGCTGGCCACATAACCCAGAAAGCTGTCTGTGGACAAATGCCGGCTCCCTTGGCCTGAAGCGAGATGAGCACCACAACCCCATAGTCGCCTTTAGTCGGACTTAACCATCCAGGGGTCCTTTACCTTTATCTTTTTACCTTTACCTGCTGACTAACTGTTGTGGCTGAGTAGGATGGGGAATGCAATGAAGATGTATGGTCATAAGGAGGTATACAAATTTAATAATTAAATGGATGAATAATGGTGGAAGATATGACTAAATGACTGGTTGTAGCACTGAACTGGAAAATTCCACACTGCAACATTTTGTTGCAGGTCTGACTTGCTCAGTTACTAATCTTTGCATTTTTTTGTTCCTGCATTCTTATCTACCCCATGACTGCTTACTAAGTTTCCTTAGGAGACTTTGTTGAGTGATTTGTTAAAAGGAAATGTGAACATCCAGGCATATAGTGTCTACATGTTCATCCTATCTGCATGCTTACTGACATTCCTGTAGAACACAAAGATAATAGCGAGGCAAATTTCACTTTGCAGAAGTCATGCTGACATTGTGACCTTCGGTGGTAGAAATATTCTCAGCTGCACACTCAGATTTTCTCAGGGCCTTTGCTTTCGATTTGAGCCCTGCGTTTTATGCCACAAAGTGCCTGGTTCTCTGCTACAAAATTTCATTTTCAGTCCCGGTTGCTTCCTGGTGCTGTTGAGCATTGCACTGAAATTTTCCTTTGAAGCTCTGCCTGAAGGGGAGTAGTAACAGAACTTCAAAGCAAAGCTGACCCCATCTTTGTGCAGTCTGGCCACGATGCTTGGCAGCCCTCAAGAAGCAAGCAGGGGAGTTAAAAAGAAATATCCATGTAATTAGCTGAGTGAGTGAGTGTGAAACTTCCAAACTCAGCGCCAGCCAGTGCCAAATAATGGGAACAAGGAATGGCAGTGGGAAATGTTGCTAGGCAAAGATTTCTGATGCTTTGGTAAAACTGAAGGTCCAAAATGGAAGAGGAATGTTGGCACGTTTCAGAATCATACTGAAGAAATTGGCAGAAGCTTCTGCCATAGAGAGGTGCTTGTAGAGAATAACACCCCTTATTCCTAAACACCTGCACTCAAAAATATCGCAGAAGCTCTGCTGAGCAAGGCTAGAGATTGCCTGCCATATAAGAGGTAAGATGGATGTCCTCAGGGCTGTGGCATTATGTCACATCAGATTTTCTTGGGTACTTTGTGTAAAATGGAAATGTAGCATTCTTGGGACAGAGGACCCTCTGTTTCTCTCAGGGCCCTGATAATACTAATACTAATACTAATAATAATGATATGTTATTTATACCTCACCCATCCAGCTGGGTTTCCCCAGTTACTCTTGGCAGCTCCCAACAAAGTATTAAAATACAGTGGTCTGTTAAACATTAAAAGCTTCCCTAAACAGGGCTGCCTTCAGATGTCTTCTAAAAGTCTGGTAGTTGTTGTTCTCTTTGACATCTGGTGGGAGGGTGTTCCACAGGGCGGGTGCCACTACCAAGAAGGCCCTCTGCCTGGTTCTCTGTAACTTGGCTTCTCACAGTGAGGGAACCGCCAGAACGGCCTCGGCACTGGGCCTCCGGGCAGAACAATGGTGGTGGGGACGCTCCTTCAGGTATACTGGGCCAAGGCCATTTAGGGCTTTAAAGGTGAGCACCAACACTTTGAATTGTGCCCAGCCTTGCCACCCTCCCGAGCCAGCCACACCTGTTGTCAATTATTGCAGTGCCCCACCTAAAGAATATTGATTTCTCCCATGCTGCTCATGGGCTGAGTCCATCAATCCCTGGAGAGCTTCAGGAAAAGAGGTAGACAGGGAACTAAGTGTTTGCCCTTGGCACAGAAATGTCTAGTTCTCACACTGATCTACAGTTTGTCCACATCCACTGTTTCTTTGGTTGCGTTTTGGTGCTTCCTTCATTTGAAATGAGTCTTGGAGCTGCTTAGACTGTTTCTGACATTTCAGTTGTTCTTCTTCCTAAACGGAAACAATTCAGAGCGGGGCATACATTTAAATCAAGAGATTTCCCTTTCAAAGACCTCATAATCCATCTTGATCCCATTCGTTTAAAACAACAGTTGTATGTTTTCGTAACTTATGTATTAATTCATATAGAGGAAGAAAGATTTTCCCCTCCCCTTTTTCCTATTCCCACATGCCAGGCTTGGTTCCTGATATTTATTTACTTTATGTCATTTAATTCTGTGCCCCTTAAGAGGGTTTTAGATTGAAACCAATTTCTTCCCAATGAACTCCAGGCAGCTAAACTGGTTTAACTTCCAGTTAGCGGTGAGTAAAGATTACTAGAGGCTTTATTGTGTACATGCAGTAAGTGGTTGTGGCAGAAGTCAGAAATAACAAAGCCTGGAGGCATAATCTACCATGAAGATTAGTCATTAGGTGCTAACACCAGGTACAAAGGGGGACTGCATCTGAACACCAATTACGGGTGACCATGAGCACAATGAGACTAAAAAGGTAAAGGACCCCTGGACGGTTAAGTCCAGTCAAAGGCGACTATGGAGTTGCGGCACTCATCTCCCTTTCAGGCCAAGGGAGCTGGTATTTGTCCACAGATAGCTTTCAGGGTCATGTGGCCAGCATGACTAAACCACTTCTGGCACAACGGAACACCATGACGGAAACCAGAGCACATGGAATTGCCGTTTACCTTCCCACCGCAGTGGTACCTATTTATCTACTTGCACTGGTGTGCTTTCAAACTGCTAGGTTGGCATGAGCTGGGACAGAGCAATGGGAGCTCATTGCGTCGTGGGGATTCGAATTGCTGACCTTTTGATCGGCAAGCCCTAAGAGGCTCAATGGTTTAAACCACAGTGCCACCCGCTGAGACTATCGCCCTCCTGACCTGCTTGTGGGCTTCCTATAGGATGCTGTAATAGATAGGTCTTGATCCAGCAGGGCTCTTCTTAAGTTCTTAAGATCTCCTGCACTTGTCATATCAGAAGTAATAGAATGCATGACCTTTTTGCAAAGCTGTGCAGAAGAAAATATGGGTACAAAAGTCTCATTGTTCAACCAACTGAACATCCATCTACAGCAGATGGGATCCTTTACATGATTTAAAATACTTCTGATATTTCAAAAGTGATCCTCAGTCTTTGCATGATTACTTAGAGGACTTTCAGTATTTTTCAGGTTTGCACCATGCTGAAGAAAGACTGACGAGACAGAAGTATTGTTTCTGGGGGACAGGGGATGGGCAGGTGGGGGGGACTCCCTGGTCTTGAATGGGGAAACTGTGCCACTAAAGGACCAGGTGCACAGCCTTGGGGTCATTTTGGACTCACTGCTGTCCATGGAAGCCCAGGTTAATTCCACCTGGTAAAATGGCTGAAACCCTAACTGTCTATGCCTTGTCTCACCAGAGTTGTAGATGTCCTGGTTATCTCCTGCTTGGATTACTGCAGTGTGCTCTATATGGGGCTGCCTTTGAAAGTGGCTCGGAAATGGGTGGCATACAAATAATAAAATTATTATTAATAATTATTTCAAGAAAGCTTACAGCCTGAGTCTACACCTGTTTACTTCAGACCCAGCAAGCACAGCTTCCTCCCAAGTAAATGCACTGACCATGTCAATCTTCCAGCATGCTTACTCACAAGTAAATCCTGCTGTGTGTTCAGTGGGCCTACTCCCAGGTAAACATGACATAGGATCAAACTCCCCACCTGATTGTGACGGATGCGAGTCGCTTGGACTTCATTCTTGAGGTTTATTCCAAGTAACTTAACTCCGAGTGCAGCTCCCTTGGGGGCAAATTCTTTGGAGGGGATGGCAGAGGGATGTGGTGTCATCTTTAGCTGTTAGAAATACTGAGGGAAAATATGAAACCCCAAAGGGGCCGACATCCCATACAGTTCCCTTTGTATCAAGTGTCTGGGCCTCCAGAGGGAATAGGCAGAGGCTGCTAATGCTGCGGACTGAGGAGAAGGGGGGCAGGAGAAAGGCGAACGCTCATTCCTTATTTTTAACAGTTAAATTCTTGAGGGAAATAATAGATATCAAAGGTGGCAGGGGTGTCCTTTTCTATTAACTGTCTGTCTTTCCGGGAGATGGGGTGGGAGCGGGATGGACAAGGACTTGCAGTGATTTAACTTGGGGGGGGGGGTGAGGCGGGGGAAGCTCTCACACTGTTTCAATTAGGGCAGTCTATGTTGTCATATAGCTCCAAGGGATAACTGAAACTTTTTGGAGAACGCTTCTTAATTCACTGGCCCCCTCTTTTTTATTGGCCGCTGCCACATGGAGTTCATTTCACATTTCTGCTATAATGTAAGTGATATAGAAAAAATAGTTCTCACATTGTGTCAGGTCCACTGGTGCACAGGCGTGCTGGTTTCATTGCAGACAGATGATGCACTTGCTCCCCAAGGCTGCTACCTCCACCCATACCAGTCTTGGAGGAAGGGGATGGAATTGTCTGTGTGTACACACACATCATTTTGCCTCACTTGGTCGTCTTTGCGCAAGGCCTGCTTACTCGCAACAGATAAACGTGTGAACGGATGCAAGGTGATATTAAAAGATCTGTGATGTTTCCCTTTCGAGTACAAGTGATCACCGGAGGTCGGCCCTCATCAAGTGATGGACAAGCATTGATGGATCAGCACTTACATGAGAGGCGTTATCAGTGACGTAGCATGGGTTGCCAGCATCCGGGGCCATGTGGAGGGAGGGTAGGAAGGAGAGAAATGGACGGAGTACGCCTGCACATTCAGCGTCACCCAGGAGATCGCAGCCACAGAGATAAGAAAAGAAGAGTCACTCCATTGTCTGGAGAGGTCACTTCCTGGTTCACATGGACAGGCCGTTTTCAACAGAGCCCAGCGATGGTAGCTGTATTGAGGCAGCACAGGGTGTTGAAATTTTGTGCCCCTAACAATTTTGCATCCGTAGCAACCACCCCTTGTTATGCCACTGGGAGTTGTCAAGTGCTGTGTGACTGCAGCATTGTAGATCATGGCATACACAGCCCTATCATATGCATGCTACTATTTTTTAAATCTTTTTTTTAAAAAGTTTTGACTGTTACCATTATTTCATCCCAAAATCCACAGGAGGGCAATATCTTTATCAGGCCAACAAAATGTGTGTGTGTTTGTGTGTGTGCGCGCAAGCTTTTGAATTCTTCAGAAGGCTTCATCAGGCTAGACAGCAAACTAAACAGGGAGTGGGGAGTGGGGAGAATAAAAATTGGCTAACGTTGGAGCCATTGATGTATACCCTCCAACATCTCCGAAGAAAATAGGGATGTCCTATTCCATAATGATAATGTCACTATTTATATCCCCCACATATTCCTGGGTTGCTCCAGCCACTCTGGGCAGCTTCCAACATACATAAAAACATAATAAAACATTAAACATTTGGGTCATTCTACATCAGTTCAGCGCGGTCATGCCACCCACTGTTTTGGATTTTGATGAAACATGGTGTACACCCTTCGCTTATGGTTGAAAGAAAACCCCTTAAATTTCCCCCCTCTATCTCTAGCCAATTTTCATAGTTTTAAATACCCCCAAACTGAAAAAGAAGCCTGCACTTTTGGAAAAAAACACCCTCTGTAATAACCAATATTATTTTAGATTTTAAGATGAACAACTTTGTTTCACTAATTTTTTTCTATTACAGCTATGGATTGTAGGAAAGTTGTACCCCGTAACCATTTTTCCCCCATGATGTCCAAAAAACGAAAAATTTTGTTAGAAGACATAAGAGATCCATAAATTTTATTCTTTGTTGAGAAAAAGCATGTCTTTGCAATAATTTTCACCATCAAAAACTTTTGATTCCATTGTGCCCTCATGCTGAAAATTTAGGTTTTCTATACCTCATTTTTCCACCAAAAAAACTACATTTATACATTTTTTTAGGCATTTATAAAATCTTTTGAGTGCTGGTGTATTTTCCCCTGAAATCCTCATCATGTTATTGAGCTCTGTGTAAAATTTCAAAGAGATCTGATCATTGGTTATGAATAAAAAATATAAAATGTACACAAGGCCGAGGATCTCAAGAGGAACACACAGATTTCACGAAACTTTGAAGTGCTATAAAATTAAAACCGTTTGAGATAGAGAGGGGAAATTTAAGGGGTTTACTTTCAACCATAAGGGAAGGGTGTACACCAAGTTTCATCAAAATCCAAGACAGTGGGTGGCGAAACCCTTGTTTTTTGCGTTGATTTGATGTGGAATGACCCATTTAAAAAAACCTTCCCTATACAGGATTTGTTAAGTTGTGGGTGAACATATCAGACGACACAGCGATTCTTCAAACAGCTCTTGTTTATTCACAGGCCAGAACAGAACTGAACTGAAGGGTTCAGCCAGCCTGCTTATATAGAGCTCCAGTACAACGTAACTGTAACAACTTTCTGTAACTATCCAATCACTGAATGTCACTTTTGGTCCCTTATTTGCATATGTGGACCTGAACTATCTACAGTATCCCCCTGCTGGCCCAGGGTGAGAACTTCAGTACATAACAGGATTGCCTTCAAACAGCTCAGGGGTCGGATAACTCCATACCATCCAGCATTTCTCATCCAAAGGAAAAGTGGGAAATTCCAAGATGAAATCAGAAACCAGGGAGACTTCTCTAAATCAGGGGTGTCCCTGAAAAACAGGGACACTGGGGGGGGGGGGTCTGTTGATGGCATCTGTGCTTAGTTTCAGTCTTAAGATGTAATGTGGAAGGAGGAAGCAGACAGTCAAATGAGACTTTGCTGTGTACACCAAACTCTCCACAGACCTACAATTCCCAGCACCCTTAAATGACAGTTCTCAGGATTCTTTGAGGGAGGGTGTGTGCTGTGTTTTATTAGTTGAGTTGCATCTGGGACTTCAGGGAAGAAGGTACATACAATGCTTGATATCCCCTCCCCATTTTGGAAAAATAAAATCCAGCTGTTACCCGGATCTGTTTCCTAAAAGATTATTTCACTATAAGCCATTTTGGATTTGTGTGCCTGAATGAAACAGGTTATGATTTTAAATTTAAATAAATAAGCAAACAAGCTTAGAAACAAATCCCACTTAGCTCAAAACCCCAAGTATGCATAAGCTTTACCTGACAGCAAATCCCACAGATTCCCATTGGAACTTACTCCCCAAATAAGCGTGCTTATGGTTGCAGTCTAAAATAATCTCTCTGCTTGTAGGTGTGCATGGAATCCAAACTTCTGAAGCCAATGTTTGGTCTGGATCTAAACTCCTCAAACAATATATTAGTGACCCTTTCTAGCAATCACAAACATAACTCACAACTGAGTGCCATTCCCAGGGAGTTCCATACAATTCAGTACATTGGAATAAATCATGTTGTGAAAAGTAGCTTTTTTATATAATGTTCCATTTTTTCCAGTTAGCTTAAGACACAGCTACTGTAATTCTGCACAGAATCAGACTGCCATTTGAAATTGTGTCTGTTCACACAACCTATAGCAAACATTTAGGATTTGCTTGGGGTGTGGTTTTCTTTCTTTTTTTCAGAAACCTGAGATCATCTGTTGAACTCTGCAGGGATCATTTTTGGCAACTAGTGTTGATTGCAACTTCCATTTTCTGAATGTGAATAGGATCAAGATCCCACTATGTCCCTAAAAGTTGCTTGCAAGTAACTGTTCTTAAGGCTTCTAATCTGGCCTTTCTGTTAACTGCTTATGACATCCTGATGTAGGGAGAGTTATAAGAGAGTGGGGGGGCTGCACGTTTAAGAAGCCATTTAGAAAATCTGTCGGTAGAACAATTGTGAGATAAGCTAAAGGTTTAGAGTGCTGAGAAAACAAAATTTGTCCCAGTGATTGGAAGGTGTGAGGAGTTGCAATCAAAACAACTCTGTAGTATTTGGACTCTTCTTTCCACACTGAACTCAGAAAGATAAAGTAATCAGGAGTTTGCACTTCAGGCCAACTGCAGCTAGTTAGTTTGTACTTCTGCACTGAGCTCTAAAATGTGTAACAGTGAATATCAGAAAGACACGTTGGGGAACTCTCCCCCTCTAATGGGAAACAGTTGAGGTTTTTCTACCAAATCTGTCAATTTTGAAAATGAAAACACGAGAGAGGCTAAGAGATAGCGTCTTCCCCCCACCTCCCAGAGTTCCAAAAGTGCACTTTGGTGCAGATACTCAAAAATTGCTCCTCAAGAAATGGCAATGCTGATGCAAAAAAATTAATGACCTTTCTGGTGTATAGAGAAGTCAATGTTACTTTTCCTCTCTCTCCCACCTACTCCCTTTGTGTCCAGAAAATCCAAGATTAAAAAAGGCCTTAGGTTTTTTGGGGGGCTGGGGCTGGGAGTGTTTAAACGAACGGTTCACATATCCATTTCAGGGGAGTTTGTGGCAGGTTCATAAATCACTTTATTTATATTAACCAGTAGCTTCTAAAATATGACAAATGGTGGGCTGATACACTCCAGAGTCAAACCCGAAACACAGTCCTGCAGAGATCCTGGAGCAGGCATAGGCCAACTCCGACCCTCCAGATGTTTGGGACTACAATTCCCATCATCCCTGACCACTGGTCCTGATAGCTAGGGATGATGGGAATTGTAGTCCCAAACATCTGGAGGGCCGGAGTTTGCCTATGCTTGTCCTGGAGCATCCAAACTGAGGCCCATCAACATGAGCAGCTGAGCAGACACAAAATCTCATCTCTGCTGCCCTTTTATACCATTCATGCTGATTGCAGCATCTGGGCTTGATGAGGCATGTGACCCTCACCTGCTCTGAGCCTACTCCAGATGAGGAATCACACACCTCCTTCCGAGCCAGTGAGCCCCACCTGGCCAGCCAGAGAGCTGGGTTGTGGGTCCTGGCCTGCTTCAGCCTCGTGGAGCGCCCCACCTGCTGCTCCCTATGCTTCAGAGCCTGCCATGTTCAGGGACACAGGGGCTCCTCTGGCTCTGGTGATGGGTCCTGCTGCTCTGGTTCCTGTGCACTGAACCCCATCCCCTCATCATCCTCCATCACCTTGTGAGTACTTCATGCACCAACCTCTTATTCCCCATCCCCAGCTTTCCCCAGTGTGTCCCAGTCCCAGCTACACCCCTTGCCATAGCTGTCAACTTTTCCCTTTTCTTGCGAGGAATCCTATTCAGAATAAGGGAATTTCCTTTTCAAAAAGGGAAACGTTGACAGCTATGCCCCTTGCTGGAATCCTCTTCCTCCTCCCCGCTGTCTTGCCAGTTCATGACAATATTTTGCTTAAGCCCCATTGAAAAGTATGGGAGCTGCATAAGGTCTCTGCTGCTCCTGCGCTGCCCCATTAATTCCAATGGGATTTAAGCCGAAGAACGTCCTGCTCTATTGTGCCCAGAATCTTTATTGCCAATAGCATGTCATGTGCTCTTCAAAACAAAGAATTACCACAATCCCTGCCTGCAGTTTAAAATAATTGCAAAATAAAAACAGAGCACGACCTGCCAGGTACTGACGCATGAGCAATGCAGATGGGATGTGGGGAAATTATGAGGACATAGAGGAACAATAGCAGTTAGAAATCTCAGTTTAAAAAAGAAATGTCATGCAGTTTATCCAAAATGATGTAGAGCACAGTATGCTTAAACTAACAAAATACCATATAGTAGTGATTTAAGTGATATCTTACACAACTTAAAAATGTTACAAAGTGCCTAACTGGATTAAACCAAGATGCATCTACTCATATCCTTTATTTCCCACGTTTGGGAAGTGAGTGTCATTTCATAAGTAGCCAAAACAGCATCACCCACACACATTTGCAAGCTTGAGGGAATCCTAAGGTTTGTCTATAAAGAAAAACTTTATGGGAACAAAACTCTAAGTGGGGCGAACATTCCTAAACTCAGCCCAATGCAGACTATTCTCAATAGCCACAGAGCACTGTTTGAGAGCTGTGGGAG